CGTGGGACCATAGTCAAAGGAACTGGTCTTTGGAAAGGAAGCTATGACATCCAGTCTACACACAGGCGGCAATAGTTCTGTGAGCACTTAGGTCTGCCAGGACCCTGGTAGAAACACTGAAGACTCTCCTGGCCCAGAAGCTCATGGGACTGGTCCCAAGTCCTACCATTTTGAATTCATAAGCGTTGATTCTCTAATATTAAACATAAATCCACCAAAACAATGCTTCTGAGATCCCTGTTCCAGACCTGGGCTTGTAAAGAGGACAGCACACGTTGAACCTGGGAGGACTCACTGGCCATTCAGCCTCCCCTCTCTCTACCTCTGCCCCATTTCTCACACCCCTACACTGGATTGGTCCTTGGCTCATCTTCTGTTTCTGTCCCAGACCCAGCTGCCCCTTAACGGTAGATAAGTTTCCGGCCTGACATGCTCCCCATCCCCTCCAGTGCACAGCTGCGGGAAACGGCCTCAGGAGGGCCTCTGGGGGCCCTGGAGGCTGCTGTGTGCACTAGGGTGGCGTTATTTCTCCTTTGTCTGGAACTCTGCCTGTTTGGATCTTCACATGCACTCACCCCACCCGTCTTGGAGTATGGAACAGCCAACAAGGACCAGGATGTTAGGGTTCCCCGCATTCGCTCCATCGTTGGCGCGCAGTGGATCGGAAGTGACTAAATTTCGATGTGATGACTCTGCGTTCTCACCTAAGAGACGGGAATGTGGGGACGCCCTGAGGGACACTGCCAGTGATATCTCCATCTCCAGTCCCACTCTTTGAGTTCATGCCTGGAAACTCAGATTCTAACGTCTTTGAGCTAAAAGGGCCCTAAGGCTAAGCTTTCTCCGTTTTATAGATGAGGAACTAGGGCAGAGGAGGGATACGACTTGTCCAAGGTCACATAGCGAGTCGGAGCTAGAGGAAAGGCTGGCCGGGAACCTCTTTCTCAGAAGGGCCTCTCCAGAGCCACTCTCGGGATGGCGGGGCATTGGGGGCAGGGGAATATGCTGCTAAATCAAAGAACCCAGGTAGGTAGGTATGCCCGCACAAATGAGTTTTCCTCCTCATACCTGTGCGGCTTGGACAGAATCCCTAGAGCGCTGCCGGGGAGGGATGGGGCCGCAGAAGTTGTCCGATCAGGAATATCTCAGATTCCCATTTCACACAGAAGGTGTTCTTGGCTTACAGACAGCGTTGGGCTGCCCAACCTGTGCAGCGAGAGCAGCCCCCTTTCCGCACCGTGCGCTGCGCAGGGCAGAAGGAGCTTCCCTTTGGGTCGAAGGTAAGTCACCGCTCTTGGAGCGGGCCGGCGTCCGGGAACTTCTAATGCCAAGAGGCGCCACTAGATCTGCAATCCTGGCCAGCCTTACAGTCCACCAAACGGCGACCCAGAGAAGTTACGCTACTAGTCTGAGATTACACAGCGTTTCCATGACAAAGCCAGGCTACTGTGCCTCAGTCCTGCCGACCGAAGCTAACTAGCCCAAGAGTATGGGCCCAGGAGAGAGACGAGCAGGGAGCGGGTCTCCACAGCTCCGCGCTGAAAGTAGTCCGGCCTCGGTCTGCGCAGCAGTCGCATGGTTTCGCTCCCGCAGCAGCACGACTTTGGGCCCGGCTCTGTGTAAGCGCTAGAGGCGGGAGACTAGGAAAGGAAACCGTCCAAGAAGGAACTCATGTAAATTGAATTGCCTTTGAAAGTTTTGCTACTGAAAGAAAGCTCGTTGAGAATAACGTATGAGGAGCCAAGACACTTTCAGAGAAAAGTTCACCTCGGTCTTCTGCCACAAAACCTGGCTTCATTCGGAACGTACTCCCTCCCACCTCCTCTTTCTCTCCTCCAAGCCGGCTTCTCCACCACCCTGAGGTGTCCGGGGTTGGTTTGGGCTGCCACAGAGCTCTTGAGCCTGAGATCGACTCGCACAACCCAAGACCAACCTATTTCCCACTTCTTGCTTCAGACAAAGCGAAGTCCACAGGGCTCACACAGTTGCTCAGTTGTAAAAGTCAGAGATGACACAGCGCTCTCAGTCCTAACTGGGTGAGTCCTCTCTAATACTCAATTTAAAAGCATCAGAGAGAGAAAACAATTGACCTGAAGTTACACAGCTAGTGAGGGCAGGGCCAATTCCTGCACCTGGATAAGGGGTCTGATCTGCCTGGCCCAGATCTGTTTGTAGGAATCATTGAAATGGGAGGGGAGGGATGCGAATGGGAGAATTTAATCAGATTTTCTAAGAACCCAATAAATTGTTTTTGTCAGGGTCTGTTATCATTACCAGCACATCCTGAAAGCCAGGGGCTCTGGGACTGCCTTTCCCTCTCTCAAAGACTTTAGGCAGGGGCCCCCTTCTCCTGGAGCTCAGCTTCCCCATGTGTGTAATGAGGAGAACCCCTGAGATGAGGGCCCCCCCCACCCAGGGTTCTGAAAAATGAAGATTCATGGGTAGGGAATAGTGTTATCATTCCACCAGGCTCATTCTAGAGCTAGGGGTCTGGATGCTATTGACTGGTCAGAAAGTGTTCAAGCTTATTCTAGTCTCCCTGACTTTGGGACAACTTAACTTCCACCACAGCTAGCTTGCCCAATAGTAGTTTTTCTCCAAGGGGACCCAGAGAGATAGGGTGTGGTTCTGCTTCTCCCAGC